CTAAATCGTTTAATGATTTATTAGATGTTCTTTTCCAATACACAAACGAAGTACGCATAGTCGAACCACCTCCAAGATGCAAAAGGCTTCACTTTCAAACAATAATGTCTTAAAACACTGATTTACGAATTAAGATCCCCCCAGGTAGAATTTCTGATCGGGTCATTGTGTACAGTGGCTGTACAATAAGAAGTCTAAAATTCCAGATGCCCCCTCTATTACTAATATCTCGATGCTTGGTACTGTAAAAAGTCTGGTCATGCCATGCAAATTTGAAACTATAAGCCGGCATTGGATATGGTCAGGCGGGTACTAGCCGTGCATCAGTTAGGCTGGTACAATTGGGGTCGGGCCAGCACTAGCTGTGCGTCACTGAGACCGGTACAATTGGGGTCGGGCCGGTACTAGCCGTGCGTCACTTAGGCCGGTACAATTGGGGTCGGGCCGGTACTAGCCGTGCGTCACTGAGACCGGTACAAGGGGTCGGTCCAGTTCGAATTAAAATTGACATTAGTAAACTGTGAGATAAAGTCGTACTTTTTTACTCCAAATCTGTTGAATTCAAGCTAAATAAAAACATAAAATAACATGCAAACACATTTTGTCTGCATTATTTAATCTTAAAAAGTAATGCAAAAAATGCATTAACTTGTTATGGAAAAAATACTTAAAATTGATGAAAATTACAAGTTGAAAAGATAAATTCGACAAATAAGAGATTCACTTTCATTAAAATAAACATTTGAAGTAATTTTAAAATATTAATAAAAAAATTTACATATGAAATATAAACTTAGGTAAGTGAAAACTGTAATTCCACGTGTTGACAACTGAAATCAAAAAGTCGAATTCTTTGAATAGTTTTAATGATCGAGAAAGAATGTTAGAACGAGGGAGGGGAGGTCAGTTTCATCGTTTTTAATCTCCACGGGTTTGGAATCGAGCCAAATTTTTCTAATTTTTTCTTCCGAGTCGTATTCTCCTCATGTTTTCATCCGAGCCACATTCTCCTCGAGTCCTCATGTTCTTGTTGGAGTCGCATTTTTTCAAGTTCTTATCCAAGCCACATTGTCCTCGCATTATCACCGGAGCCGCATTCTTTTCGTGCACTTATTTGAGCCCTATATACGACGCAGTAACAAAAGTCATAATATGTTTGTCATAAATACATTTGTCATAATACGATTTTCATGCATTACATTTTTCATAAATTACAAAAGTCATAGATAACACAAGTCATAAATTCCATTTGGGTATATTCCTAGAGAACGATTTTTGGACCCCCCCCCGCCCCCCCATACGTTTTTTACATAGTATACAAATCATACATTTCTCATAATTTATCCCATTTTAACATGTTTAAGAAAGTAGAAAATACGCAATTTTTTAATCAAATCTGCTAAACTATCCTTTCTTGGAAAATGCATGGAACACGGATCGTCTTGTGAGATTTGATAAAACGTCTAAAAATGTGAAAGCTTCAGCTTTGCGGCAATTCTAACACCATTGTAGAGATAACAACACAGTGTGCTCTACCCTCGATGATCTGCCAAAGGCTCAAAGGTTACAGGTGTAAATCGTGCATTCCCTTTGTTGCGTAGAGATTACAGAGTCACTTGAAATTACGCTTTCAGTCCCTTTAATTTACTCAGAAATATTTTCATAAAAAACCTCAAAAAATACAAATATTTTGTTATTTTTTAATAATAATCTGGTGCACAAGTATACGAAAAAGAACTTTCAGTTTTGATAGTTAAGACAATATTTATTTATAAAGATTTGTTTTATAAGTGTTTTAAGTCTAGCCATGAAGATAAATTATCCTCAGACAAATTTACTTTAAAGTAATTAAATAAATGTTTTAAAATTAATGTATACTCTTATATAATTCCGATAAAGCAAAGTTTTAAATTAAGATTCAGGGGAATTCATTATAAAAATTAACATTTTCAAAAGAAAACCCTTTGGAAATTCAGTGAAAAAAGTAATTTTAGGTACATCCTAGGTAAATCCTGTGCATGTCCAAATGTCGAGTTAAAAATCTTAACTCTAGTAAATACCAAAGTACTTTTAAAATGATTAACCATTTTTTATTTCAAAAAAGTAATTTTATGGTTGTCGCTGTGTATATAAATAATCATGCATCTTTTATTCTGGTTTTAAGGAAATATATTTCTCCCAAATTTACAATGAAAAGGCATATTGAAACCTTAAAATATGAAAAATAAAAGTTGTTCTAAAAAATGAAAATTTAGAAATCAAAATATTCGTTTTTGAAACAGATTCCAAATATTTACCTGGCCTAAAAACCATTAACTTCTTCAATTCGCTTTGATACATATATCAGATCTTCAAACGTTTTAAAATCTCAGTAAGCATTTGTTGAATATAATTTCAATCTAGGATAATAACCAGGAGAGTGTCCCACGAAACATGACAGCAGCAAGACGAATTGAAGGTCGTCTTTGATCTAACTTGGGGCATTTAGTTGTAACCCTCAAATTCTAGAGTTAGTAATCACAAAATACCTCTAGTCTTGGCATTTATAAAATGTGGTCTGCCTTTTTTATTCTGTCAATCTAACTGAAGATATGAAGATTTCTATCAGATCTCGATAATTTAGGTTTTATTAAATAAAATTGAAATCTGAACGAAATTCTTAATATCTCCGCGGTAGTATTGACAGCTGAACAAATGGAAGACCACATTTTGGAATTGCCAGAACTATGAGAATTGTTTGGTTATTGTTTCAAGAATCATTCACGTGAAAGTATAGGTTGACTACTGAATGTCACAAATAATTCAAAGTTCAAAGACGACTTTCAATTGTCTTGCTACTGTTATGTTTCTTGGGACACCCTGTAGTAAGTTATTAAAATCACTTATTAAGTGTAATGGGGTCTGTGTACATTGCACAATTTCTTTACCTCATGTTCATTGGACTATTTATAGTCATAAATTAAGTCTAAAAGTCGACTTCCTAATTCGAGAGTTTTCTGGTTATCACGCTGTATTATCAGAATTTGAAAATAATTTTTCCGGAAATAAATGTATGCAATCGGACAAATGTCCCATTTAGAAAAACAGCGTACTGCAAGTGTAGGATGTCTTGGCGGATCAAGGTTATAATGCAAGGAAAATTATTTCAGAAGTGTATGCATCTATTGTAGTGCAATGTACTGTCTCTGGGCGCTAATGTAAACACAAGAAGGATGTTACAGTCTGACATGGAATCCATCTTTCACATAAAAAATTTATGAAATATTCTGGTCTTGGAAACTATTATGTGAATTATCAAAATTATCAAAATTTTATGCTTTTATCCTCCTCGGATACTAAACTAACACTGATGCATCTATTCTTGTTTACAAATTCCGACCAGAGAGAACTGGTTTCAAAATGTACGTAGAGTAAACGCAACTGCAATAAACTTTCCTTGCATTATAACCTTGCAGCGGGTTAAGTATATCCCACGGAAAATAACAAAGCAAGATGAGAATTTTAAATTTAATTGTGACTTTCAGTCGTTGTATCATTCTTAAAACAAAAAAGGCAGACCACATTTTGGAAATCCCAGAACTATAGATAATTAGTAATTATTAACTCTTTAACTTTAATACTAAAATTAGGTTGACAAAAAAATGCATGAAACTATATAAATATCTAAGACGACATTCAAATCGTCTAGCTACTGTCATGTTTCGTGGGACACCCTGTACATTTTTTGGTAAGTTTTTAGGTAAAACCACAGAAACAGATGATCTGAAAAACAATGGAGCTAAAAAAAAATTTAAAAAAGAACATTTTTATTTATAAAATTGTATATTTCATTAAAATATTTACAGAATTATTGTTATTTTTTGGATTTTCAGGTGAACGGGATTAAAAGAAATCTTTTTATTTCACTTGCTCCTTTCAAAACATAAAGCATGTATATTTTTAGCTGACGACTTTACGTAATTTATATTGTCATTTTCTTTAATGCAGCGCTCAGTGCACATGTATGCGCTTACTATATACCAAATCATTTGAAGACTTTATTTTTGAAGTAAGTCAAAATCCACCTTTTAATCGTCTTATTTAAAGAGAATCTGGTTTAATCGTCTTATTTAAAGAGAATCTGGTTTAATCGTCTTATTTGAAGAGAATCTGGTTAAATCGTCTTATTTAAAGAGAATCTGGTTTAATCGTCTTATGTAAAGAGAATCTGGTTTAATCATCTTATTTAAAGAGAATCTGGTTTAATCGTATTATGTAAAGATAACTGGTTTAATCGTCTTATGTAAAGAGAATCTGGTTTAATCGTCTTATTTAAAGAGAATCTGGTTTAATCGTCTTATTTAAAGAGAATCTGGTTTAATCGTATTATGTAAAGATAACTGGTTTATAAAGAGAATCTGGTTTAATCGTCTTATTTAAAGAGAATCTGGTTGCCATTTAAGTCTCGTCCACTGTAAGAACCCCATGTAAACATGTCTCTTAATAAAGCTGGAAACTAACATGATGTAAAACACAAGTAAGGGGTTAACAACAAAAGATTAGGCTTTAAAGGGACAGACCACCTATGTAAAGTAGTTGAACTCAGGTTTTTCAGATCTTTAAAAAGTGTATATGCCTCAAATGAATCCGAAAGAAGCTTTCCACAACACTGCATACTCAGTTCAACTACCTTACATAGCCGGTCTGTTCCTTTAAAGAAGACCCAAAATCTTTAAATTATTATCTTTTGTAAAATTTGAATCATTTCTGATTAGAAAAAAATCACAAAATGATTTTGCACAGAAATAAAAAAATCATAGTTGCGTGGAACCAAGAAATGTAAAGTGAAAGATTGAGAAAAAAGTCTGTACAGTTGTCTCTGAAGTAGGTTACTCTGTACTTAGACGTAAATCATAAATCATATTTAAAACTCAAAACAATTCAAAAATGTTACTTCTAATCGGAAATAAAAATTCAAACCATTTCAAAATTATCATTTTTAACGGAATTAATAGACAATATATATATACTATTTATTTAATGTAAACATGAATTTGTATATGATTGTATAGATATTAAATTTTAGGATTTTTTGATGATCCCTGTTAACTTCTTTCTAACTTTAAGCTTTCAGCTTCTAGTGTTATCTATAAAAAATATATATATTCAAAAAGCATTAATTTAGTACACGTTTTATCCGCGGTACTTGATTATCAATAAGGTTGGAAGACGACATTACGAAAACTCTTTTATCGGCTCCGTATACACTTCTGGGAAATATTGTATAATTTCTAATCTTCATCATTTTTAGAATTATTTGAAAAATAACAACGGATGGAAAACTTTTCAACATTTGGTTTCAAGCAGTTTCAAGGCCTTAATTCAGGTTAATTGGTATCTTTTCAAAATCAAGTAGAACATTCATTCAATTTGAAATTTTTTACAATTTTGCTATTATACAGTTCCAATCAGAAAGACCCGGAATTTATTGAAAATTAATCAGACGATTTGATTTGAATGAGATTTAAATGAAATCTAACCAGAATTCTTTATATTTTTGGTAATTTTGATCCGCAAAAAAGGGCAGAATACAGAAATGGCAGGAAAAGGTCTATTTTGTAATTATTATTTCATTAATCCTATTTTTAAAATTAGAGGTGGGCAAATGAATACTATAACTTTTTCAGATAGAAAAGACGATTGTAAAGTCATTATAATTGTCAATTCATTCCGGGTCTTTCTAATTAGGACTGTAGTAAAATTCATTATTTTATTTAAAACTATCTTAACATGTATATCTTAAAGGGACTGTAATCGATTCAAGCGACCCTTTATTGATAGAGTGGCATGTCCGAATCACAGCGGTACTCGGGAAAGTTTTGTCTGATCAATAATAAGATATTCGTGTTTATGTATTAATTTTTTTAATGCTTATTTTCTTTGTAGGGTCTCTGCAAAGTCAACTGCCCCTTTCTTGCTTTAGCAAAAATTGAAAAATTATCAGAATTAAACGTTTTCCAAGCCATAACCGGGACATTATCTGCCACAAGATTTTCAAGTATCGTCATGAATCGGACATACCCCTTGTCAAATGGTGGAACACTTGAAAATGCGGTGACAGTCCCTTTATTAGTTTAAATTTTAATCGAAAGTGTCAGGCCCAACCCAACCGATTCAGTGTAACCATATTTATCTTTATAAGTCATAAAAATTCATGATGAATTAATTCTCTTTCATAATTTGTAATTTTTTGGGCCTCACCTTAAGTTTGTTTCAGCAATCATTTTGAAACCATCATCTGCATAGCTCACAGTTGCAGTCCTATCAAGGCTTCATTCGGGAAAATTATCTCCTCCCCACTTCCAGCACTTTCAGATTCTTCTTTGGACTCTTCTGTTGTAATAACTTCTTTAGAAGAAGCTTCTGTAGCAGCTTCTATTGCAGCAGGTTCCTCAGGAGGAGCTTCTGTTGCAGTAGGCTCCTCAGGAACAGCGTCTGTTACAGAAGGTTCCTCAGGAGCAGCTTGTGTTGCAGCAGGTTCCTCAGGGGCAGCTTCTGTTTCAGTAGGTTCCTGAGGAACAGCGTTTGTTACAGAAGGTTCCTTAGGAGCAGCTTCTGTTGCAGCAGGTTCCTTAGGAGCAGCTTCTGTTACATTAGGTTCCTTTGGAGGAGCTTCTGTTGCAGTGGGCTCCTCAAGAGCGGCTTCTGTTACAGCAGGTTCCTTAGGAGAAGCTTTTGTTACAGCAGGTTCCACAGGAGCAGCTTCTATTACGGCAGGTTTCACGGGAAAAGCTTCTGTTACAGCAGGTTCCTTAGGAGCAGCTTCTTTTGCAGTGGGTTCCTTAGGAGTAGTTTCTGTTTGAGTGAGTTCCTCAGGAGCCGCTTCTGTTACAGCAGATTCCTTTGGAGTAGCTTCTGTTACTGTGGGCTCCTCAGGAGCAGCTTCTGTTGCAGTAGGTTCCTCTGGAGTAGCTTCTGTTACTGTGGGCTCCTCAGGAGCAGCTTCTGTTTCAGTAGGTTCCTCAAAAGCAGCTTCTGATGCAGCAGGTTCCTCAGGGACAGCTTCTGTTACAGCAGGTTCCTCAGGAGCGGCTTCTGTTGCAGTAGGTTCCTCAGGAGCGGCTTCTGTTGCAGTAGGTTCCTCAGGAGCGGCTTCTGTTACAGCAGGTTCCTCAGGAGCGACTTCTGTTGCAGTGGGTTCCTCAGGAGCGGCTTCTGTTGCAGTAGGTTCCTCAGGAGCGGCTTCTGTTGCTGTAGGTTCCTCAGGAGCGGCTTCTTTTAAAGCAGGTTCCTCAGGAGCGGCTTCTGTTGCAGTGGGTTCCTCTGGATCAGCTTCTGTTGCAGTGGGTTCCTCAGGATCAGCTTCTGTTGCAGTGGGTTCCTCAGGATCAGCTTCTGTTGCAGTGGGTTCATCAAGAGCAGCTACTTTTGCATTTTCCCCAGACGTTTCTTCCTCCAGAGTTTCATCCTCAAAAGTTTCTTCCACTGGAGTTTTTTCCTCAGGAGTTTCCTCCACAGGAGTTTCTTCCTTAGGAGTTTCCTCCACAGGAATTTCCTCCACAGGAGTTTCCTCCACAGGAATTTTCTCCAAAGGAGTTTCCTCCACAGGAGTTTCTTCAACAGGAGTTTCCTCCACAAGAGTTTCTTCCTCAGGAGTTTCCGCCGCAGGAGATTCCTCCAAAGGAATTTTCTCCACAGGAGTTTCTTCAACAGGAGTTTCCTCCATAGGAGTTTTTTCTACAGGAGTTTCTTCCACAGAAGTTTCTTCTACAGGAGTATCATTTTTAAGAGCAATTTCTATTATAGGTATTTCTTCCTCGAAATTGTCTGTGTAAGTGGTCTGGGATGGAAATGCACAAGGAACAGTAGCTCCGTATACATTTCTACAAACTCCTTCTAGAATACAATTTAACAATTTAACGATTTTTTGTAATTTACAAGATGGAGATAGGGGGGGGGGGGTCTGTAATGGTGTAATTTCAATCCTGTAACAGTAAGATAGGGTTGTCATTTTCACATGTCACACCCAGCTCTGTGAAGCATCTTAGGGGTATAGATTTGTTTAAGCCTTTCCAAAAAATAAGTTTTTTTTCTTGAAAGCTTCAGGTAAGTTTCTGGGAGGCCTTTTTGAGTCCAAAATGATCCGGAAGAAATTAAAAACCCTAAGCAGAGACCTTTTAAATGAACGAAATACAGGGTTTCCCACGAAACATTACAGTCGGTGAATAGTCTAAAATGTCTTTTTCCATAATTTTATAAGTTGTTTGATACTAAAGAGAATGATGAAAATATTGTAGGGCAATGATATTAGAGTAAAAAAATTTCAATGTAAAATTAATATGAGTTAAACATTTTTTTTAAAGAAACAAACTACGATATCTTTTACAATATCTAATATAGTATGTGGAAGAAGACATTCAAAATTATTCACCAACTGTGATGTTTCGTGGGACACCCTGTAAATGAACCTACTATATACTATAATTCTCTCCATGCAAGATTTCTTATTGGACATTGGGATTAACCAATGAAAGTTTGATTTGAAGATCATGAGCTTAACTATAAATCGACCATTCAAAATTTATCTATAAGCGCTTACCGTAGGGACTAGATGGATAATAGAACGGGGTGTAAATCGGTTTTTTGTATACAGGGAACTGTATACTGTTTATGGAGTAGGAGGGAGGATAGACCGGAGTCTTGAACCTTCCTGGGGAGTAAGTTGGGTATTTCTCTGGGTAGTGGGTTGGATATTTCCCTCCTGAGTAGTAAACTCCAGGTCTGGATTCCGCCAGGGATATTACCGTCAGCACCAGCTAAACATCATAAATTGAGTTCATAGTTTTTAAATGTTATTATTGGTTACCTAGAAAGACTTTTGTATCTATACTGCACGCAGAACTAAGTACAACAAAGTACATCCTATAATCAGTTATATTTTGATCTCTCTTTCAAAATCTGTCGAAAAAAGCATAAAAGATGTTATATGTTTAAATATTTGAAATATGTAGTCAAACAAAAAAAAAATCAAATAGCAAATGCGAAAAATATTAATTTACCGGGTGAAACTGGGTTTCAAAGATAAGGCTCACTGGCTTTCAACCAGGCCTAATTTACCGGAAATGAAAGTAAGTCATTACTATTTAAAATAACAGGCAGCTTTAAATAAATCCAAACCAATGCTGGTGCAAAATAAATGATCAGATTTCGCACTTTAACAGAAACCCTTGGCGTGCAAATGTGTGAAATTTATTTTCGCGAAAATGGGAATTAATCTATAAGATAATGTTTAATTCAGATTGCATTTTTTCTTTAAGTTTTTTTCTTAATATTAAAAAAACCTGCAAATTGAAATATGAATTTATTCACTTAATCCTAACTAATCTTTCCAAATAATTTGTGATAATGATTTTAATCTGAATGCTATTTAAGACAAATAAACTTCAATGGGATTTAATATGCGAGTAAAAACTTAAAAACCAACGGATTTACGCTCAATGATTTCTTTTTCTCAATTTGTAATTAATGAAAGAATTAATGGCGCGCCGAAGCAATGAAAAATATATACCAAAATAGATCGCTATCTTTATACGAAATAAACTTTTGACGATGACAAAAGCAATATTTCAAATATCTTTGAAGATTTTTAACTTTGTTATGTTATGTTGGGCTATGGTTTTCTAATATATGTATAGGTGGGGGGGCTTTGTTTTTAAACCCCTGAATTCAATGGCTAAGGTGCTGACTTGTTAAATAACACCTTTAAAACATATAATAATAACGTTAATACATTTTTTTATTGTTTGCATGCATGCACGCCCCATGATTTAAAGATTCCCTCAGACAAAATCTCTCCAAAGTGTACGATTAAAAACATCTATGTAAACTGATCAAAACTCAACCTCTTTCATATAGTAAACTCTCAGCAGCTCTGATTGAAAATACCTCCCACTCCCATAAATCAAAATCCCTGCAAATTGAAGGTCTCTTTCCAAATCCCCGCACATAAAAAATCCTCCCCTAGATTAGAATGATTTCCTCTGCCTCCGACAACAAATTACTCCTCTCCCCTCCGATTAAAGGGACAGACCGGCTATGTAAGGTAGTTGAACTAAGTATGCAGTGTTGTGGAAAGCTTCTTTAGGATTTATTTGAGACATTTAAAACTTTTTAAAGATCTGTAAATCCTGAGTTTGGGGTGGATACATTTTCAGAATCGGGTTTTTGAAAATTATTAAATAACGACGACGAAAAGTAAAGTAAACATTATACAGTAATCTACTTAGATGGTTAGGAACAAAAGAAAGGAATTGAGTCTTTGCCACAATTTTCTAATCATTAAATCTTTAGAACCAAATGTTGCAGACCTTAGATATTTCAAACTATGAATTCTGTTAGATCAAATAATCTGAGTTTGAAATATCAAAGGTTTACAACATCGAGTTCTATAGATATTGAGGTTTAAATATTTGATTTTTTTCCAAAGATTCATTTCCTTTGTCAACAAATCGATGCTTGAATCAATTATTTCATTTTCATCATTAAATTGATTTTTTTATTTTCTTTGAATTTATTCGCAGATTTCTTCAAATTCTTCAAATGTCGTCTTTTCAATAATGATTCAAGAAAATCTTTGTGAATAATAAGAAACCAGAATAGTGAGAAAATAATAATTATTGAACAAGATTACTTATTTTCGATGATAAGATTGATTTTTATTTTCTCAACCTGTTCCTTAACAACTAATTAGTTTACTGTAGATTTTTTTTTACATTTTATGTCGTCGTTATTTAATAGTTTAAAAAAACTATACATGAATGAATGAATCCTAAAGAAGCTTTCCACAACACTGCATACTCAGTTCAACTACCTTACATAGCCGGTCTGTCCCTTTAAAGAAAACCTCCAACTTAAAAGTTCCTTGTTCTTACTGCAACTTGAAGGTCCTTCCTCCTCCGATTAAAACCAATCCCCTCACAAACACCCTCTGTCCCCTCCGAAAAATAATTCCTCCGTTGCCTCCGAATATATAATCCAAGTTTAAACTAACCAAGGACGTGAACATGTTTGTCTGTAGCCGAGCTCTGCGAGACTACTAGAATACTACGGTGTGAGCTCTGGTAATCAAATATCTTAGTTTTTACAATATTCAACCAAACCCGGGGACCAGCTAAACCACCAATACAGTTATTTTTAAATATGTACTGTAAAAATACAGGAATATTTAAAGTCTAAACTCTACCCTCTAAATTGCGAAATAAAAAAAATCGCTTATATAGCAGCAAATTTAGATAGCTAACATATGAGACAAAACCATCTAACGTTTGCTGCAAAATAAGCGATTTTCTTTTTCGTAGAGATATGTACTTTGGAAGGTTACCTCTTACGAGTTTCCTTTCTGTAGGTTCCCTTGAATTATAAATGCCATTTGGGATATGTACTTTAGTAGGTTTTTTCTTACCAGTTTCCTTTCTGTAGGTTTCCTTGAGGTATGCATGCTATTTGGGATATGTACTTTAGAAGGTTACTTCTTACGAGTTTCCTTTCTGTAGGTTCCCTTGAATTATAAATGCCATTTGGGATATGTACTTTAGTAGGTTTTTTCTTACCAGTTTCCTTCCTGTAGGTTCCCTTGAGGTGTGCATGCCATTTGGGATGTGTACTTTAGCAGGTTACTTCTTTCCAGTTTCCTTTCTGTAGGTTCCCTTTGAGGTATGCATGTCATTTGGAGGATGGCTTTCGTGGCTGGGCAAATGGAAATCTGTCTCTTGGAAGTTCTTACTTTTTAAAAAGTACATAACACTGTGAACCATCATATGTAAAGTATGCATAACATTGGGAATCATCCATTGGAAGTAGATAACATTAATAACCATTATTTTGACCATTATACGTAATAACATTAGAGCCATTGCATGAAAAGATAGAATTCATATTATATGGGATATTATACATAAGTTGGGAACATCTAAACAGAAAAACAGAAAATTGGGATTTGGGAACAATTAAACAAGTACATAACATGGAGAACCATGGCATTGGAAGTAAATTACATTTGAAACTATTGCATGGTAAGTAAATAACATTGGGAATCATTACATACTAATCACATAACATTGGGATATATTGCATGAGATGTACATCATTTTGAGAACCACAACATTGGAACGGTATATTATTAGAAGCTATTGCACGGGAAGTACATAAAATAAAGAATTAGTACGTGATACGTACATTGGTAGGAGTTAACATTAAAAACCATTATATTTGACCATTTTACGTAAATAACATTGGAGCGATTGCATGAAAAGATAGAATTCATATTATATGGGATATTATACATAAGTTGGGAACATCAAAACAGAAAAACAGAAAATTGGGATTTGGGAACCATTAAAAAAAGTACATAACATTGAGAACCATGGCATTGGAAGTACATTACATTAGAGGCTATTGCATGGTAAGTAAATAACATTGGGAATCATTACATAATAATCACATAACATTGGGATATATTGCATGAAATGTACATAATTTTGAGAACCACAACATTGGAACGGTATATTATTAGAATCTATTGCACGGGAAGTGCATAAAATAGTACGTGATACGTACATTACATTGGGATCCATTGCATGGGAGTACATAACATACCATTAGAAATCTTTGCATCCGAGTACATTTCATTAAGAATCAGTACACGGGAGGTATGCATACTACATATAACGTTGAGAACCCTGCCATGTAAAGTACAATATCTTAAAGTAAATATCTAATTATGACCACCTAAAGGAATTGCTATAAGTAGCTATAATTTAAGTAGTAGATATATTGTATAATGATTATTATCGATTAGATTATTACTTTAAATCTGCGGTTGTCTGAGGGAAGGAAGGCCAACCACAACAATTTCTAGTTCGAGCCACATTCTCCTCATTTCTCGTCCGAGCCACCTCTAAAGCCTCGTTATTCTAATATTATTTTTTTTAATGTGCAACTCTTGCATATTTATATGGTTTTTAATCTGACGACGATGACGAGCAAATGAGAAGAATGTGGCTCGAAAGAAAAAAATTGTGTGGTTAACCTACCTACCCTCTTTGTCTAGCTAACACAACCTGAGACTGGAATGATAAATCAAAGTCGTGAGAAACTGTAAATTTTTCATAAATATGAAAAGTACACTTCAACATGACATAAAACCTAACAGATACATTTTATATTTAAAAAAAATACTCTTCTTTTTCTTTATCAAAAGTAAAAGGAAAAGAGAAATAAGTTAAAATAATTTATTTTTTTCATGTTTGGCTAAATCTTTTCTCGGGGGTACTTTCATTTTCTAACTTAAGAACTGTTTAATTCTGGCCATTTTCTCATTTTTTCTGCAGAATAACTCCATAAGTAATTTTTATAGGGAAAGCACACTTAAAAATAATTATTTTTGAAAAGAAAAACACAAAAATCTCATTCATACTTATCAGGCAAAGCTTTTCAGAGTACTGTTTGAATTAGACATATACATGCTGTATAAAGAAAGTCGCTTGAAATTACGTCTACAGTCCCTTTAAATGGTCTCAGATAAAAAACTTTATTTTAAAACAATTAAGGCCGTAATTATTTCATATTTACAGTAATCACTCCGCAAGACACATCAGACGGTGGGTCCAGAAAAATAAATTTGAAAAAAAAAGATTTTTTTTATTGTTGTTTTGGTTTAAAACAAGCAGAAAATTTCGAATTTTTAGACTCAAAGAAGTTCGTAGTAAGATTTAGATTCTACTGGGGACCACCGTAGGGATTTCATTTTTACTGGAGGGCTTACAAAAATCACTATTTACAATTTGAAAATTTTTAGCAGGATGATTTTCATTCTACTGGAGGGATTCAGATATCCATCCATGGGGTATATTCCACTGGAGGGATTCAGAAATCCTTCCTAGGGTTTTAAAATTCCACTGGAGGGATTCAGATATCAATCCATGTGATTTAAAATTCCAATGGAGGGATTCAGATATCAATCCATGTGGTTTAAAATTCCAATGGAGGGATTCATATATCGCTCTGGGGGTTTAAAATTCCAATGGAGGGATTCAGATATCAATCCATGTGGTTTAAAGTTCCAATGGAGGGATTCATATATCGTTCCTGGGGGTTTAAAATTCCACTGGAGGGATTCAGTTATCCTTCCAGGGTTTTTTAAATTCCACTGGAGAGATATAGATATCTGATATCCTCCAGTGGAATTATAAACCCTCTGCAAGATAGATATCTGAATCTCTCTAGTGGAATTAGAAACCCCTGGATAGATATCTAAATCTCTCCATTGGAATAATAAACCCTCTGCAGAATAGATATCTGAATCCCTCCAGTGGAATAATAAACCCCTGGATAGATATCTGAATCCCCCCAGTATAAACCCCAAAGAAGAATATCTGAAAGCCTCCAGTGGAATGTAAATAAAGTTTAATATTGTATAAAGCTATTTAACCAACCCCTCCAGTGGAAATGAATTCCCTCCGGTGGTCTCCAGTGCAGTGGAGACAAAATCTTACAACGAACTACTGTGACTCGAATTTTTACATTTTTTTATTTCGTATTTTTTGACAACCCTGGTAAATCAGGAACCACCTTTCTCGTGAAATCTTTTCTTTGTTCTCCGGCATTTATTTATTTTAATTTGAGTAATTATGATGGGCTGGGTCCGCTAACATTCCTCACTAGGTGTATCATTACATTTATACCAGGGGCTGAAGAGACAGTCGGGTATATATTCAGACAGGTTGACAGTATGCCCAACCCCCTGGACCCCCCCCCCCCACATCTTTTCATTTTTTTCGTAACTATGTTTTTTTTCATCCAAAAAATCATGATATTTATGCTGAAAATGAACTGATTCTAGTAAAATGTTCAGGTTTAAATTGGATCGGTAAAAACAATGTCAAGTAATTCCATTCCCTCTACTTAAATGATAGACATTCTTATTCTCAACTGCAGTACAATGGAAAGCCTTGTCATATCAAGTATGAATTAGATATACAAGTTTGTAATGTATGGGAATATTCAGATAATCAGAACCAAACTCTTATCAAGTTAGAAAACGAGATTATCTTCACCATAGTGAGTCTAGCATGCCCCGCTTTGAATTGAGGGTCACTTTAAAAAACAACCACTAAGACCACTACAACGAAAGTCCCTCTAAGACCACTACAACTAAAGCCCCTTTAAGACCACTACAAAGACAGTCCCTTTAAGACCACTACAACAAAAGTCCTTTTAAGACCACTACAACGAAAGTCCCTCTAAGACCACTATTACGAAAGTCCCTTTAAGACCACTACAACTAAAGTCCCTTTAAGACCACTACAAAGACAGTCCCTTTAAGACCACTATAACAAAAGTCCTTTTAAGACCACTACAACGAAAGTCCATCTAAGACTACTACAACGAAAGTCCATCTATAACCACTACAACGAAAGTTCCTTTAAGACCACTACAACTAAAGTCCCTTTAAGACCACTACAAAGACAGTCCCTTTAAGACCACTACAACAAAAGTCCCTTTAAGACCACTTCAATGAAAGTACCTCTAAGACCACTACAACGAAAGTCCCTTTAAGACCACTACAACTAAAGTCCCTTTAAAACCACTACAATGAAAGTCCCTTTAAGACCACTACAACAAATGTCCCTTTAAGACCACTACAACAAAAGTACCTTTAAGACCACTACAATGAAAGTGCCTCTAAGACCACTACAACGAAAGTCCCTCTAAGACCACTACAACGAAAGTTCTCTTAAGACCACTACAACGAAAGTCCCTTAAAGACCATTACCGCATTTGCTTGAAGATAGTTTTGCGCATAAAAAGTATTAAAGACATGAAATACAGTCACTAATTATGAATATAAATATTTAAAACAAAACATTTCAATTTTCCGAAGTATTACTTAAACTTGAAATAAATCAATATATATAATATATATAAAGGGTTTGTCTGTTTGGGTGTACAATGTTGTATTGTATTTGTGTCCAATAAACGTCAAAATGACCGAGCCGATCAGGCCCAATGGTTCGAAAGTAGAAATCTAAATATATTTCCTCAAAACAACTTTATTATAATTTTGAAAATCCGTTGCAATGAATAAGAAAATGAAAAGAACTCGAAATAATGTGGTGCAATAATTTTCCTATTTTTGAAGTTACCCATTTTGATTTCACAAAAATCTGAAAACGAAAACAGTAAAATCTGAGAATTTATTCAATTTCGCTAATTTATATTTTTCAAAGCGCCATGTACGCTTATAACACATAGATTATTTTGCAATGGTGAGAAGATACAAATATATAAAATTGGTTAAATTAACTTTTATCACACGCATACACCACAGAGGAACCAAAAATACGCATGATTTATTCGCAGTTTATATTCACACTCAGGGTTCATTTTGAACACAGTTATACTGTGGGACTTATATCAAGTTGCAATATTTATATTATATTATTCATAATCACGTGTTTTAGCCTTATTTACCCCATTCTCCCCAATCTTTAATTTTCATACGAGTTTTGTTATAACTTTGACATCGTTTTATATCAATTACTCGAGACAAGGACTTCAGATAGAACTAATATTAGCCGTGATCAACTCCTAAAATTTTTGCTTCAGCCTAGTACCCCATTCATTTTATCTTAACAGTCCCTTTAAAGTTTAATTTGTAACTTTAAAGGGATTGTTAAATTTCTTTGAACAGATAAAAAATATTTTTGTGACAACCTTGTATTTGTTTTCAAAAATCGAATTTTTCTATAAATTGTTAGAATAAGAAATATATATACCCCAAATTTGACGGCTTGGAAATTTAGGTTCATTATGTAACTGTAAAATTTATAATTATCGCCCAATTAGTTCTGTTTAAATGAGTTTTACTCAATAATATAAAAATACTTTTGGTTTAGTCAGGTTGGCAGATGAGTAACCAAGCATAACTTCAACCAGAGCTCGAAACTTTTGAATGGAATAAACTGATTTAAATTTATTAAATAAGTTGTCCCCCCTCCCTCTCTCGCATCAGTTATCATGCTCAGTGTTAAACCCAACCAGACCAATCAAAATGAGAAAGAACGAGTTCCTTTTGATTAAACTGACTCAATTAATTCTTTCGATTTAAAAGTTACCGCCTTTGGGCCTGGAGATTAGATTATATTTTATTTTGACGCGTTTATAAAGATAATTACAAATGAATATCTTTAAACGCTACCGAGTAAAATTACCAAATTAAATATATCGTACAGTGAGAACCAGAAAATCGTGACTTTTTTCTTTCTTTTAATTTTATAGTTTCGCTTGCACAATCAACTCCGGTTCATTAAGTACCGGGCTGACCTGTCAGCAGCTAGAGCAACTTGCACAGTATACATATGCAGACTAAAACAGGCAAAACGGGACGGTACACCAAATTAATCATTCCTCTCTAGCGATTTTGCGATTAACAATTGAACTTTTTCTGAAGAAGCGCAACAATTGCGAATCCCGATATCCACGGCGACATTTCAAACGCGCGTAAAAGGACAAAAACAACATTTACTCCATGGTTTTGTGGTCCTCACTGTATACAACGTTAATTACTAATATTCTGGATTAAGATTCAGAAAAATACTTTTTATCCGGAATATTTTCTAGAAGAATTTGTAACTCGTTTTCAAATTCCCATCATTGACAGATTTCTTATCAGAGTTTAAAAGTTCAATATATTTTGCTTCCGAAAGGCTTCTGAAAAATCTGAGAAGTCTGAAAAATTTTAAAATTTTATGCTTCTACTTTGTAAGATGTTGAAAATTGAAGTCAAAGAGAGACCTTTAAAATTTTTTAAATAGTTCATTAAAAAATTGTTATTTTTTTCATTATCTAATGCATTGCGGCCATATCTTCTGGAAGAGTAAATATTTTTAATTACAAAAAATTGCAGAGAAAAATGTTTGAATTTTTGTTGGGCGGCCTGAAGCCAAATAAGTTCAAAGCTTTTTATTAATTTCTATCTCTTGGTGCATAAACGCCCATAGCCGGCATTCTGAAATATATTTTTTAATTTTATTAAAATAATTTTATTCTTTAAAAATGACTAACAATAATCTATTTATTTATATTTTTGTCCGTTGGAATAATTTAGACTGGTGACAAGGTTTTCTTAAAACTTAAAATTCATTCAATACTTTTTGTGGTAAATTCTACTACACAGCTTTGTACATATGTTCAGAGATTACCATTATAAGTTTGTACATAAAGAATCAATATTGTTCACAGGAAGAAAGGCTAGACATTATTTTTTACATAATTTGTGCTATAATGGGGTTTCATCATTATATCCTCCTATCACCACCCTGTTTCTTGGTAGGGGTAGAGGCAGGCGACCAGGAGGGGTGTTTTGAAAGGAGTTAAAGGGAGGGTGCGAAGAATTAAAGGCAGTGTGCGAAGAATTAAAGGGTGAATGGGAAGAGTTAAAGGTAGAATGATGTTGTGGATGGTTAGGAATAGAATCACCACCCGAGGTTATATCATCATCTTCATCTACGTCACCTAGAAGATATTTTTAAATATTAATTTTTATCAATTTTTATTTCTTCAACTTTAACCTCTTAATCCGGCCATATCTTTTTTAATTTATCTAAATTAAGCATTATCAATATTGGAACTGAGCCAAGCTCCCACCGCGGGTCAGTGCACTAAGACCTAAAAGATAATCCGATAAAAAAAATTACAAGAACGTCCAAACAGTTCTGATCCGACGATTAATGTCACAGAAAAGTCACAGCAAAGGCCCCAAAACCGTCCTAAACATTGCTTTTAAAGCATTTGGTGAGTTTTCGTGCTGAAGCTCATTCAAGACTTTACCTCTCTTTCCCTATCTTTACCTCTCTTTCCCTCTCTTTCCATCTTTTTCCATCTTTTTCCCTCTCTGTCCCTCTCTGTCCCTCTCTTTCACTCCCTTTCCCTCTCTTTCCCCCTTTTCCCCTCTCTTTACCTCTCTTTACCTCTCTTTACCTCTATTTACCTATTTTTACCTATTTTTACCTCTCTTTACCTCTCTTTACCTCTCTTTACCTCTCTTTACCTCTCTTTACCTCTCTTTACCTCTCTTTACCTCTCTTTACCTATCTTTACCTATCTTTACCTCTCTTTACCTCTCTTTACCTCTCTTTACCTCTCTTTACCTCTCTTTACCTCTCTTTACCTCTCTTTACCTCTCTTTACCTCTCTTTACCTCACTTTACCTCTCTTTACCTCTCTTTACCTCTCTTTATATCTCTTTACCTCTCTTTAACTTTCTTTACACATCTCTTTACCTCTCTTTTCCTCTCTTTACCTCTCTTTACCTCTCTTTACCACACTTTACCTCTCTTTACCTTGCTTTACCTCTCTTTACCTCTCTTTACCTCTCTTTACCTCTCTTTACCTTTATTTACCACACTTTACCTCTCTTTACCTTTCTATACATCTCTTTACCTCTCATTACCTCTCTTTAACTCTATTTACCTCTCTTTACCTCTCTTTACCTCTATAAAGTTAAAAGTCCTACCTTGATCCCCACTAGAATCTTTATATCCATAATATGAATCTCTGGGTAGGCCTGAGGACTGGTAGGGTTGGTTTACACCTTCTCTAGGTAGATCTGAGGACTGGTAGGGTTGATTTACACCTTCTCTAAGTAGACCTGAGGACTGGTAGGGTTGATTCATTCCATCCTAATGCAAAAATGATTTCTTTAAAGATTTATTTAAGAAAAGCTTCTAGCAGCAGTAAAAACAAAAAAAATGTTTTTTTAAAAATGCACAAAAGTTGATTTGCGGCAATTCTCCAAAATTACGCATTGATCTCCAAGGTTATAACGCAAGGAAAGTTAATTGAAGTAGCGTATACTTTGCATACATATTGAAACCAGTTCTCTCTGTGCGGAATTTGTAAACAAGAATAGATGCATCAGTGTTCGTTTAGTATCCGAGAAGGTTAAAAGCATTAAATTTTAAAAATTTTGATATTTCCCATAATAGTTTCCTATGACCAGAATATGTCATTAATTTTTATGTGAAAGATGGATCCCATGTCAGGCTCCGACGTCCGTCTTGTGTTTACATTACCGCGCAGAGACAGTTTACTGCAGTACAAAAGATGCGTACACCTCTGAAATAACTTTCCTTGCATTATACCCTTGCTGATCTCCATCTTATCATATCTTTCTAGAACAAAAAACCCATGAAATAGTTTTGCATTTTATTAACATTATTATATTAGATTTCTATTATATCAACAGTTCCTTGAACCCTGCCCAGAAATGTATCGTTATTTAAGAGGTTATATTTGAACCAAAATTTCCTTATATTTAGTTATAATTCAAATATATAAAAAAGACGGGGTTTACTAAGATTAAGAAAGGGGAAAGCATGTTTTATTACTGCAAACGTTTTATATAAATTGTGTATAAACATTTTTTACAATAATAAATGTTTAAAACTTGGTTTCCTTAAATATGATCTAATACCTATTGAAAGGAAATCATGAAGCCTGAATGAATTTGCAACCGGAAGTTGGCATCTTTTCAATTTATAGAAAAATTCTTTCTTTCTTAAACCCAAAGTGAAGGTGCACTTTGATCTTAAAAAAATCTAGTTACAGGAATTCAAATATCGTCATTATTGAGCCATCGAGTTCAAAATTCGTGGAATCCAAGGAGTGTGGAATAGACGGGAGATACAACTGACGCGGCCCGCCCTACCATGTGATTTTGCATGCTTTGCAGACGGGTACTCCATTTGTTTAAGACATATTCAAAATAAGTTATTGTATACCCGGTAATTATACATCAGACAAATATTTCTTATACGAATGGAGTACCATATGGTAGGGCGAGACGCGTCATTTGTATCTCCCGTCTATTCTATACTCCTTGATGTATAATCATATGGTAGGGCGGGGCGCGTCAGTTGTATCTCCCGTCTATTCCATACTCATTGGTAGAATCACACGCGAAAAATCCGTAATAATTTTTACAGAAGACGACTTTCATTCCAGACTTCAAAATTTACCTGGAAACCAGGATCTGGGTATCTGGATAATCTATTCTCAGGAGGAACTCTTCTCTCAAACCTTGCAGAGTCAAAATGTCCGTAAGGTTGAAACCTCTCTCCGGGATTGAATTCCTCCGGGTAGGATTGAAAACTGTCCGAGTTTAAAGATGTTTCAAAGTTTGGGTTGTGAATGTATGGCATGCTTTGCTCCGGGTAGTATCCAGACTGTTGGGGGAGATACTCAGACTCTGGGTAGGGTTTTCTCATGCCTAGGTAGGATCCGTGCCCGGAGTCTTGGAACTCATGTTGGGCAGGTCCAGGCCAATCTTCTCTCCTTCCACTCAGAATCATCGGGGTTCGTTTTATCACTAAAAATGCATTTTAATTTTAAAAATATTATTTATGAATAAGTTAATTCTGTCTCATAAAAGTGTATTATACCCTGAGAAACCCGTAATTAATTTTCCGAAGCTTGTTAAACCATATCCTGTCCTACTCCTGAATATAGTTCAAAATTTCCTGTCCTACTCCTGAATATCCTGTCCTTCTCCTGTATATAGTTCAAAATGTCCTGTCCTACTCCTGAATATAGTTCAAAATGTCCTGTCCTACTCCTGAATATAGTTCAAAATGTCCTGTCCTACTCCTGAATATTGTTCAAAATAGTCGGGGTTTGCCAATGGATAGGACGGACGAAGGGACAAAATATCGGCCAAAAGGAAGGCTAAGTGAAGTGTGCATATTTGTGTTTTCAAATCTGAACAAATTGTTCAAGAAATAGAACTGGTCATTTAGATGGGTCAGACACAATGATATAATTTTGTCTAATTTAAAAAGTTTAAAAAAACTAGGAAAATACGACCTAGGTCTAAGCTTTTGGATTTAAATTGCATCTAATTTTCCACCGAGTTGAGTTCATAAAACCGGTTTATTATTGTTTTTGGCGAATTTCATTGTTGGAATTGGCGCTTTCCGGGTTTTAGATGAGAACAAAAATTAATTTTAAATGTTGTTAATAATCGCTTTGAATTTTCGCCGAACACGTGTTTTTGATATCCCCTGCCTCACCTGGTATAGGTTGGTTGATCTGAGAACTGAGAGAAGGTTTCTTAATCCGTCCTGCAGCAAGATCGTCTTCGATCCGTCTCAACTCTAGCATCTGCTTATCCCGCTTCTCCTGTAGTTTCTGTCTAATATCGTCCACACTAGTCGTCCTACTGTAACTCAACCCGTCTCCCGCAGTTCGTTCTTCTCTAGGTAGGGGTTCCTTCCAGAACGGAGTTGTGTCTGGAGGAGGAGGAGGGACAGATCTGGAGGGCAGTTTCTTCTTCTTTCTCAGGGCAGGGTTGAGAGCACAATTAAACACGGTTACAGCAGGGTTATCCGAGCATACGGAGGAGGTTTGACGTTTGGCTGGTTTGTTTTCCTCCTGGTTCGGACTATAGTTCAGAGCTGCAGATAATTTTCTAACGTGAAAATATTTATAGTAAATACTCATAAACACCAGTCCGAGGAAGTAGGAAACAAAAACTGCGACGAAAACATGGGTTCGGTCCAGGTTGAGCTCAAGGTAGACGTAGTTGTTCTCTATACCTAGAGCCCAGAGCGCTATGAGGAGGATGTTCTCGACCAGCATGATGGTATAGAAGGTGATGATCTTGAGCTTGGTATTCTGCTCCTCTAGGTTGAGATAGCAGAAGATATGGATATACGAGACAAAGAAACTCAAAACTATTCTATTCCAGGCTGTTAGACGCTCAGACTATAAAACAAAGAAAAAAATTATGTATTTGAAAAGTTTCACTAAGGAATTGAGTCTTTGTAACAAACTCTGATTTGCTAATACCTATATTTTTTCCACCTGATGGTGTAAACCTTTGATATTTAGATTTTTTCATATAACAGAGTTTATAGTTTGAAATATCAAAGGTCTGCGGCATTGGATTACAAAGATATAGAGATTAGAAAATCATAGTTTGTGACAAAGACTCAATTCCTTTGAGTATGGACTTAATGTATTCTAAGTATCAAATATTCATTTGTAAAAATGATAATCAAATTGATAAACCGAAAAATTTCCATAACTTGAAAGTAGCATATCTAGAAAGAACCTACCTTGAAAGTAGGATATCTAGTTAGGATTCACTTTAAATGTAGCATATCTAGATAAACTTACCTCAAAATTATCATATATAGATAGAGCCTACCTTGAAAATAGAATATATAGATAGATCCTACCTTTAAAATAGAATATCTAGATAGAGCCTACCTTTAAAATATAATATCTAGATAGAGCCTACCTTTAAAATAGAATATCTAGATAGAGCCTACCTTTAAAATAGAAAATCTAGATAGAGCCTACCTTTAAAATAGAATATCTAGATAGAACCTACCTTTAAAATAGAATATCTAGATAGAACCTACCTCGAATTAGCATATCCAGATATATCTTGAATCTTAGTATATCTTGAAAGTAGTAACTAAATAGAACCTACCTTAATTGTAGCATATCTAGATAGAAATTACCTTAAAAGTAGCATATCTAGATAGAACCCAGAGCATCATAGTGATCCAGTGTAGCACTACTACTAGGAATACCCAGTACTTAAAAACTGTAGTATACAGGACCAATACCAGGACCCTAGACGATAATTAAGATAATTATAATAATGATAATAATCATGATGATAATAACAATAATATAATAATAATAATAATAATAATAATAATAATAATAATAATAATAATAATAATAATAATAATAATAATAATAATAATACCTGGATGAAATTGTGCCTAATCTCCAAAGGAATTGGAAAATGACTCCTATCCAAGTTAGAACTAATCTATGAACGTTGTGCGACCTAAAAAAATATCTTTTAAGAAATGATAAAATATTTGATTTATTTATTCCATGTATGGGCATTTGAAGTGCTGTAGAACAGAGTATATAACGCGTGGTTTGGCACAACCCTTTCAACGATTGTGGGGGGGGGGGTCCACCCCCGTTTAAGCTTTTTTATCTTTAAAACTTAAAAACGGCTTTTTACTAGAACACTCAAACTTCTACTTTCTATAGTTGTAAACAAATTTTTGTATGCTTAGGATAGTGTGGAGGAAGGCCTTAAACACGGCTGGTCGTAGTTTCAAAAAGTCAAGATTAGTTAAGAACTTTTTAACAAATTGAGATATAGTTCTAAAAATTTATATATTTTAAAAGCCCTTGAATATTGGATGTAAAAACATATGTTACATGTTAATTTTTGTTAAAAGGAAATAAAATATTTTTCCAACATTTTTCCTACGTACTTTTTGAACGTTTTAAAGCCTACCTAGCCCCCATACCAATAAGATTAGAGGTCTAATTAGTTAGACTGAGACCTGTATTAAACTACTCTATATTAACTCTACGGGCCGAATCAATAATTTAAAAGAAAAAAGCAGATTTTTAAATATTTTAAATCATTATTTTTATATCACCTAATATTCTTTGTGAATGATGCCAGGGCCCAGCATACGTTGAAAAGAGACAGGGCCATTGATATAACGTTTATTTCTTCTATTGTAGTTGGACTAGTGCAGGCTATGTAGGCCTGGAAAAATACACAATTAAAAACAATAAACTGAAGTTCATTTCATTCTGGTTTGAAAAGGAATTGAGTCTTTTCTAATCCCTATATCTCCTTAACCCAATGTTATAGACCTTAGATATTTCAAAAATATCATTTCTGTTAGATCAAATAGACGATCAAAGAAGATCAAAGAAGATCAAAGAAGATCAAAGAAGATCAAAGAAGATCAAAGAAGGAATTCTCTTCTATTTAAATCCTTAACCATCTTTGCAATCTGAGGGCGAAAATGTTGTAAAGGTTTACGTTAATCTTTAACATATACCCTACGAAAAGGTTAGATGTTTGAATTTTTTGAACTTTAATTCTTCTAGATAAGATAGTCAAAGCTTGAAATAAAGAAGTTATACATGATCAGATTCCAGAAATAGAGAAATTAGAAAGTCAGAGTTAGAAGTAAGTGATGAGTTTCTTTAACACGACAATTTTCACAGAATGGTTTTACTAAACTTTTAAGCTTAGAATAAAAACCTTGATTCTGAGAAGAGAACAAAATTTACCAGTGTCCGAATTTAATGAATTTAAGCCACGTCTCAAATCACCCAAAAACCGGTTCCAATTGAGCGTCGGCTTAAATCTTGAAGAAATTAATACAATTTTAAGTGGAACCAACCATGTTTGAGCCGCAGTTTAAATTTAAGCCGCCGCTCAAATTCTTTAAATTCGGCCTCAGGCTTGATTGCAATCTTATTCTTATTTTTAATTTTAATCCAATAATCCAATAATGCTAAAAAAAATGCTAGAGTCAGAGCACATTTCGAGGAATGAAATTTAATACTTTAGATCATAGAAAACCCAGTGTCCAAATTTAATGAATTTCAGCCGCGTCTCAAATCCCCCAAAACCCGGTTTCTGTTGAGCGGCGTCTTAAATATTGAAAAGTTGAATACAATTTTAAGTGGAACCAACCATATTTATTAAAATTAAGCCTCGGCTCAAATTCTTGAAATTCAGCCTCAAATCAGAAATCAGAAATGTGTTGTAAATCTCGGGATCAAACATTGAACCTCAAATATAAAAATGTTCACATTGGATATGGAGATTAAGCGTTCAAGATTTAACAATTTCCACACAAATAATTCTGTTAGGTTAGTCACAGTGATTGCAAAATGTCACCTTAAAATTAATGAGAATCTTACAAATTACTTCATAACAATTCCAGCTAAAGCAAGTGTTTTCGTATATTTCATAATATTTTTGAATTTGTTTTTGTTTAAATAATGTTTTGCTGTCGCTGGATTTTCGAACATTCCTGGGAAATGTGAAAATGTCGTCTCCATTATCAAAAATCCTCGAAACAGGAATAAATGTTTTCAAAAGTAAAAATAAAAAATAAAAAATATTATGAAATATCAATTACATACGAATGCGTCGAAAAATAATCGATGACTATTGGTTGAAATATCTGAATGATTTGGTTTGGAATTAAATTGATTTGTTTACGATCCGAGTCGTATGTTGCAACTTTCTGACTTTATATGGACACTATACGTTCTTCAGTATGGGTCGTTTTTAACAATTTACTCTTGATAGACGCAACAGATAGAAGTAAGATTAGTAGCAATCAAAGCGCTTATCTATCGCTCTAAGCTTATACCCCCTTTCATTTTTCGCGAACACTCCCTTTAAGTAACTAGATTTATTGGTTAACAAGATATCTTAAATCACATTTACTCTATAATCTCTCAATAATGTTTATAAGAAGAAGTATTCAAAGGACGAAACAGTTTTATACTTATTTAATTAATTTAAATCTGAACCTGCATAAGGAGAAGGGGCATAGACTCTGCGAATCCATGAATCATCCTGAGAACGCAGAGGTTCCTCATCTCCTGCTTGACGTGCTCCAGCTGGATCGGAGCAAACAGGAGGGAGTACCTCCAGACCATACCACCACCTTTACAGATATATAAAGTGAGTGTTCACGTAATTTAAGTAGACCTTTGATTAAATAAACCTAGTTTTCCTGTATCAGTTTTTCCTAATATTACTATTATCCATCCCCCCTGTATCTCCCTGTATCCCACTGCATTGTATCCCCCCTGTATTCCCAGTGTATCCCCTTGCATCCCCCTGTATCCCCCTGCATCACTCTGTATCCTCCTGTATCCCCTTGTACCCCCATGTATCCCCTGTATCCTCCAGTATCCCCCTGCATCCCCCTGTATCCTCCTGTATCCTCCTGTATCCCCTTGTATCAAAATTTGTAAACCTGAACATCCCTATATTTATTACGTCATAACATTATATCCGAATTACGTTAATGAATTTAATATGAAGAAAATATAGTAAGTTGAAAAAGATCCTTTGTCTCAGGTATGAGAACGAAGTGTCAGCTCGAGTTGTAACTTGAAAGATAGATACAGATTATTGAGGAACCTTGTGTTCGGGATTGAGATGTATCTTGTAAGACTGATACATGAGAATACAGTCGTATCCGGATTGATAATTGATATTGATACTAAAGTACCATTAAGGAACCCTGATTTCAAGATTGAGTTGCATCTATACGAGACATTGAAGGATACAAGAGCGTCATATTTGGATTGATACAGACTGAGTATTATAGCTACGAGTTGTATCTGTTCGATACATTTTAAGAGAACTTATTGGAGTAAGGCATTTGCTACATAAAATATATATCCACATACATTTTCTTATGTAGATAAGGAGTATGCCAATTTGCCTCAAAGTAAATTTTTCTCATCCTTAATTCTTTGCAAATCTGATGGTGTAACACCTTGATAGTTTGAACTATGTAATATTTATTATAATTTATATGTAATATATTTATATTATAGAGTTCATAGCTTTCACTGTTAAAAAAAGTCTACGACAAAGTTAGGGATTAAAAAATGAAATTTCGATTATGGAGTAATCGGGTTAATTTTCTTACTCTTTTAAATTAATAAATATGATTTTTTGTGTCATTTGATATACTTGTATTTTTACATAGTCATATGTTTTTATTTTGGGAACTGATGGATTTTTAAACCTAGTATAGTTTAATGTTGAACTCTGTTTGATCATAAAGAAATTGAGTCTTTGCCACAAACTATGGTTTTCTAATCCCTATATCTTTACAATCCAATGTCGTAGACCTTTCAATTTTCAAACTATTTATTCTGTTAGATTAACTAATTTAAGTTAGAAATATCAAAGGTTTACACTATCAGGTTTATAAGGTTGCTAAGATATTAGGATAAGAAAACTAGAGTTTGTGGCAAAGACTCAATTCCTTTAAAATATCATAGCATCAGCAGGTTTCTAAGTTATTTGACAGTGTTAGAAAAATCCAGTTTTCGAAAAAGATAAAATAATTCATTGTTTACATCTGATTTCGTCAAAAATAATTGGCTTAAAGTTTTTATTTCATTTATATTATGTTCATAAATAAAGATTTTACGTGAAAATAATTTTGTCTAACGGGTAGATATTATATAAAAAATAAACAATATACGTGCATTTTTGCATCATATATAGGTTAGAATTAATAATTCATATGTTGAGAACTCTGATTTCCTTGTACATCTAAATAATGGGTATAATATACATTAATGTTTGTCAAGGTATCTACAGGGTGTCCCACATCAAATTAGACCGCGTCAATGGGTCTAAATTACGATTTGGGGACAAATCAGAAAATTCAAGAAGAATGAATCATTTTAAAATATTTAATAAGGCTAATAGAAAATTTTGTTAGCAGAAAATGCTAGATTTTTCGCGTATTATGTGCGTATTTTGGCGTTAACAATTGTTGATAATCTAATATGATATGGGACGCTCTGTACATTAATAGTTTATTTATGTAAAGTTCATAAATAAAGAATTTATACTTTGATATATGCTCAAATGTTTAAAAATATAGAAGTAAAGGATTGCTAAGTTTAAATGAAATATTTTAGAAATCCAAATATCTTAGATTAAAACATATAAATGCTTAGTAACCTGACATGTTAGCAGAGAGAACGTGATAAATATGAGACTTAAACAAAACCAAGGAAGATGACCATTTTTATAGAATGTGTAGACGGCTATTATGTCGAACACGACGTCACAAAAATACGAGGCCAGCGAGACCACGTTAAAGAGAACATCGCAGATTGGTAGAAATTCTACACCCATTTTTGGAACATTTTATTAGGGACCTATTTTTTAAAGAGTAAGTTCCCGGATTTCGTTCAAGAAAATGTATGATTTTTTAATGATTTCACATATTCTTCACTTTCAAAACAACTTTGAGTGTACAGTCGACATTACGTATCTGTCTAGAGGGTTAACTAAGAGATGTCAATGCCCGAGGCTATTTAGAAAACAGGTTTTCCCATTCCCGGCAATACTACCCAACCTTCTCTAGTAGTAGACAGGTACCCATCAGTTCAACCAATCAGAGCACGAGACCCAAAACGTCTTGACCAATGAGAGGGCCGGGTTTTTATGTAAAGGAATGTCCGACATGGTTTCCTGGGTTCATGGTATGCGAGTGTGCCGCAACACCAAACTTTTTCTTGGGTATTTGGGTAACATTTGAATAATTTAAGCATGTTAATGTGATATCAAAGATATACTGTTTGATTTTCAGTTTGCCATCAATTTCACATTAAATTTTTTATATTTCTTCTAAAAAAGTTTTTCATATTTGAAATCTTCTGAGTTGGTTGGTACGGTTACCCATGTGAAAAAACCGGGTGACTCTTAAAAGCTGACCAGGTCTGTTTATTTTAAGTATTTGTTTTGATATCTCTACTGTGAATTAAAATGTATTTGCGAAAACCACTTTAACTGTACTGCTGTAGTAAAGAAAGGAATTGAGTCCAACCTGGTGGTGTAAACCTTCGATATTTCAAACTTAGATTATTTGATCTAACAGAGTTCATATTTTGAAATATATAAAATAAGGTCTACGACATCATAGGTTGCACAGATAAAGGGATTAGAAAATCAGCGTTTGTGGCAAAGACTCAATTTCTTTGGTGGATATGACACCAATTATATAAAAAATCTATCGGTTGCGTAGTCTCATTATTTACAGTATTTGTTTAATAACTTTAATCACTGTATAGATTCATATAAAGGTGAAAAAAGAAAATTTAATATCAAAACATTTTTATTCTAGATTTTTAAAAAAACATTTTCTCATTTTCTCAAAGTGTTTATATAAAAGTTTACAGTTTGCTAAACATACTTTTGAGAAAATTAAAACCTATAATCCTATACTATAAAGGCCCCTTTATCAATGTAGGGAAATCTACAAAATCACCAAACTTTTTTGGGGATTTTCGGATTTTCTTCGTAGAAAAACCAGAGTTCTCTAGAATTACGTAAATTATGAAAAAAAATTCTAGTAATATCACAGACAAGCCAAAAATAACACGTGTTTCAAAGTAGGAAATTTATTCTGGATGTCTGTCTACTGTTTGCTCCAGGGATAACTCATAACTGCAGCCCTTCAACTGCAGTTTTGAATATGATTTTTGGCAATAAGTATCGGATCTATTTTTGATTTTTTTTCTCTTTTAATAATATTTCGCTGGCGCTGGATTTTCGAACATTCCTGGAAAATATGAAAATGTCGTCTTCATTATCAAAAATCCTCGAAACAGGAATAAATGTTTTTAAAAGTAACTCTCAGGTAAATATTAACTATATACGAATTATCGATGACTGTTGTTTAGAATATCTGAATGATTTGTTAGGAATTAAATTGTATTTGGAATTAAATAATACATTTTTAAGCTACTAGTAAAATATGTGTTTTGTAACAACATAAAAACTCTTTCATTATTGCTTTAATGTCGTCCACCTATTTTACAGCATTTCTCTATATGAAAAACATTGAAATGAACGAAATAGATTTAAATCGATGTATTTCAGTTTACACGAATTTTATCATTATCAAGGAATGGAAGGTTTGACCGTCACAGGATTAGTAAATTAGTTTATCTAAATTAAACCAATTAAACTTGAAAATTTAAAACAAACCTTAAACTGATTTAACAGTCAGTTCTTATCTCACATTATCTTAAAGGGGTACGTTTTTTAGGGAGATCTTTGTAAGAAAACTTGTTGTAAGACAAATTTTGCGAGGAGACGTTCAGTAAGAAAACGTTCTTTAAGGAGATGTTCTGTAAGGAAACGTTCTGTAAGGAAATGTTCTGTAAGAAAACGTTCAATAAGGAAACTTTTGTAAGTACTTAAGAATTCATAGTTTGTAATTATCAACATCTGGTTTCAGAGATATAGGGATTAAAAAATAGATTTTTAAAACAAAAACAAAAATTTCGTTTTTTAGCCTATGTTACCCCCAGGGTACCGATGGGGTTTCTTTAAAAACTATCAGCAAATTTGGTCCAGCCGTTTGGATTTAGGACTCTCTGTAACCTTAAACAGATTTCTTTCGTCATATCTTTTGAGTTTCAGGTCGTCTTTACAGTCTCGCCCTTTGTGGGTAACACTGTATATGGGAGAGAATCTTTATTATATAGATTTACAAGATTTTTGTGAATTTTCTGTATTGATTGAGTAAGCAAAAAGAAAAAAGAAACACGTTTAATGAAGAATTTTGACAAATTAAATTAATCATTTTTTTTCACGTTTCATTCAATAACTGTAAAACAAGTACAATGCTATATTAAAACTTTAAACAGATAATTTCCTAAGTGCAACTTTTTTCGAGTAAAGGTTACAGTGATTGTAGAGTATACAGGGTGACTAAAAAAACTGTAGGTAATGCTATCATGATAGAGCCTCAATTTTGAACATTTGTTTGTCACATTTGGTGCAAACGTTAGAAGTTTGGGAATTCTTGGATGCATTGAAGTTTCCTAGACTTGCGTCTAATATATTCTATTATTCGTTCTATATTTATCATGCAAACGAAATCCTACCAACAAGGAGTATGAAATAGAATAAAAGGGAGATACAAATGACTCGGCCCGCCCTACCATATGATTATGCATGCTTTGTATTGTAGACGGTACACCATTTGTAAAAGCAATATTCAGAATAGGTAATAATATACGCGGTAATTTAACATCAGACAAATATTTCTTATATAAATGGAGTACCGTCTGCAAAGCATGTACAATCATATGGTAGGGCGGGCCGCGTCAGTTGTATCTCCCTTCTATTTCATACTTCTTGCCTACAAACTACATCTTTGGTTAGTGAATACTGCAGATGTACACTCCGAAAGCCTAGTTGAGGGTGTACAATCATAACATCGATCAACTCAAGGAGAATTTCGAATAGAAGGAGGGGGCGATAGGGTTTCCGTACACTTTGCTGTGACGTTTTTGGACTGCTGAAGAACTAGTTTTTGCGTAACAACAATAACAAACGCAGCCGATCTAATGTAAACAAACATATGAGTTAGCATACGGTGAATCTTCATCTAACGCGCCAGAGATGTCAGATGTCTGTTTATTATCATTTGTGTTATCGTTTACAATCTTTATTATTATTGTTACGCAAAAACTAGTTCTTCAGCAGTCCAAAAACGTCACAGCAAAGTGCACGGAAACCCCAGAGCCCAAAACTTAAGACAGGGTATCGTTATGAAAACCAGTTTTGGAACCCGGGTTTCACAAATGGGTTTACCCAGTTTTGTAGATATCGATATTTTTGTTTTGAAATATTATTTTATTTAATCCTTTATATCTTACCATTTTTATCAAATCTCTTAAATCAAAATCTACACAAATAATAAGACCCCAAAAAGGAAACTCGGAAGTTTCGTTCAACGATACTCTTTTAAATTTCAGGCTCAGAGCCCAAAACTTAAGACAGGGTATCGTTATGAAAACCAGTTTTGAAACCCGGGTTTCAAGAATGGGGTTAGGCAGTTTTGTGGATATCAATATTTTTGTTGTGAAATATTATTTTATTAAGTTTCTTCATATTCTTCATTTTTTAAAATTTCTTAAATCAAAATCTACACAAATGCCAAGACCCCAAAAAGGAAACTCGGGAGTTTCGTTCAACGATACTCTTTTAAATTTCGGGCTCAGGAAACCCTATCGCCCGGCCTCCTTCTATTCAATCAATTCTTCTTGGATCAACTAATGTTGTTTAAGACTTCCTGTATATAAATTCATACATACAGGCGTACCCACAATAGATCAAACTTTAATGAAAACCTATAAAACTCTGTAGTCTGGATTTCTAATTTTGTATTTAGCCATAACATAAAAGATTGGACAAAAAATATCAAAATGTGAGTCCCTACAGTCGTCTGCAATCTTCTCTGTAGTCCTTGATTGCTTAAATGTCGTCTTCCTATTTTTTACAGTTTATTGGTTTCCTCTGTATTTTTTTGTGCTCGCAAAATCCATTCAATATTTGGTTAATAGGATGTTGAATAATTTCAATTCGTAAATAACTCCATACAAAGTATGCGTGAATAAACGTAATGCACGCAACCTCACGCGCGTTGTAAAATTGTTCCGTAAGATTCTTCCGGGGATTCTAACTTCAGTTCTCAGCAGACGCGCTTACCGTAAACACAGGCCTATTGCGAGCAGGCCAAATAATATGCCCGTACATTTTTACAAAACCACTATTCTTGAGTTGGCAGTTGTTCAGCTCAGATTTGAGAATTATGTGATTTAAACGTGAGTTGTGATAAAGATTCATAAAAGTATAGAATGTAATTAATAACCATTTGATCAAGATCATAAACAAGAATGAAAGATAAGGAATGAAAGATCTGGATCAAGAATGAAAGATCAAGATCAAAAATGAAATATCAAGATCAAGAATGAAAGATCAAGATCTAGAATAAAAGATCAAGATCAAGAATGAAAAATCAAGATCCAGAATGAGGATTAGAAGAGTTGGTCTCTGCATCTTCTCCTTCATCCTTCTCATCTTCATCCTGACCTTGGGAACCTTAAAGGTGAGTTAAAGCCTAGGTTTCAACAACACAGGGTGTCCCAATATACATTAAGAGACGGCTGAAGCTTCAACTGTTTGTCCAAAAATTCTAAATTCACATACAACTTGGGTTTCAATCATTTATCTTACAGGGTGTCTCACTTAATTTATATTCTTGGTTTTCCAATACACATTTATATTGAGGGATCATAGAGTGTGTCCCAATACACTTGTAAAATAAGAGATCTTACAGTGTGTCCCAATAAACATGTAAAATAAGAGATCTTACAGTGTGTCCCAATAAACATGTAAAATAAGAGATCTAACAAGGTCTCCCAATAAACATGTAAAATAAAAGATCTTACAGTGTGTCCCAATAAACATGTAAAATAAAAGATCTTACAGGGTGTCCCAATAAACATGTAAATTAAGAGATCTTACAATTATTCTAGCGTCCCAGATTGAGTGGTCCTAAAAACACGACAATTGAGGAAGGACTCAGGTTTCAAAAATGTATTCTACATTGGGTGTCTCACTAAACATGATAATTTAGAGAACGTCTTAATTTTTAAATCAATAATACTCGTAAAACACCCTTGTTCTGGTATTTTTAAGAAGTTCTTTGCCTGTTTTATTTTTTATTTTAATCATAAATTCTACTTGATTAAATCAAACAAAAATTTAAACAAATGAAAATAATTTATGATATATTCCACAAGAGGATTGAAGATTGAAGTTTTGCCATATTTATCTATCTATTGTATATATATTTATCTATCTATTGTATCTATATTTATCTATCTATTGTATATATATTTATCTATCTATTGTATCTTTATCAACCTGTTCCTAAAATCTGTTCTGCCAATATTTATTTATTGGATTCCAATAGTTTTGGTATTCGGAGAGAATGGAATGAACCCACAGCTGAATATTTGATCTCCGATTCAAGTTAGATCAAGTCCCTTTTACATATAATACTTGGTAAGTTATACAGTGAAACCCTTAATAACGAATACATTGGAAGAATTTATCAAATGTCGTCTTGACAATATTTCAACGAGTTTTATACTATATTTCGTAAATTTCAGTATTTGAGAAAATAAATAAATATCCATGACTATGCGGGAACAGTTTTAAAGAGTTCCATATAATTATTTAATTAAAAACCTAAATATCTGCAATATTCCATTATCAGAAAGTGAAGAATACGACAATTGATGAATTCTTTCGATGTATTCGTTATTAAGGGTTTCACTGTATGATCTCTGGTAGTGAGATACATGATCCATAGTTAGATATTTTATCTCTGGTAGATAGATATCTTATCTCTGGTAGTGAGATACATGATCCCTAGTTAGATATTTATCTCTGGTAGATAGATATCTTATCTCTGGTAGTTAGATATCTAATTTCTCTAGTTAGATATATCATTTCTGTTAGTTTAATTGTACCCAAATTTGAATAGTATCTCTGATAGTAGAATAAAGTGATCTCGTAGTTTAATATTTTATAAAAATCACAGTTTTTAAGATTAGATTTCAAGATATCAAGATATTAATCAGAATCCGAAGATACTAAAGTATATTTAAACAAATATATGATGTTTCTAAAAAGAGTAGTTTTTGGAAATTAAGATTTGATTTTATCATGTTCGGAGCTAGTTGTATTTATTTTTGACGTTTTCGAAATCCTTTGATATTCACCCAGAACGAACAACTAAGAAATAAATCTACATGGTGTTTGGTTTGGTTTTAACTTTAGACTGAAAGTTTTAACATTTAAAGAGTCCATCGGTTGAAAACTGGGGCTGCATCCAACCAATTCTCGGCAAAAAAATGTATTGCAGCATAAAATCGGTTACAAGTGAGCTCTGACAAAATAACTACTTTTTATGTTTGTCAGTTTCTTAATATGTTAATCTGTATCTCCGAGAAACCATTAATACCTAGGCAGTAAATATAGTTAGATGGTTTTTAAATTGTGCACTGTAACCGCAGCTAATAAGTTTACAATATGTTTTCTAGATTCTCTTATTTTCTATAATATTCTTTACAAATCCATTAAACAATCGGAGATCGAAATTTATGAATTTGTGAGGTCGGAATTTATAAATACGAAGAAGTAGCTAAATGTATGCATTCTCGGTCAAACTATTACTGTTAACTATCCACATCCTATTTTTCTCGATATTCTGAGATCAGCATATCTTTATCTGTAAGGTTAATTTGCATTACGATTTTTAATGTTCTATTTGTCACAAAGGTTAACAGTTTTGAAGATATGATTTTGAATATTTCATAATTCTCTTGAATTTAATGAAAGTAAAAGTATGATAAAAAATAACTAAGGTTTAACACAAACTCTGATATTAAGATTTTAATTCAAAACGTTTATTGTAAATTTTTCAATTCTTTGTTGTTGTGTTTAAAACTTGATATAAGCCAGAACCATTAGATCTTTGTTTACATTTTAGTTAAACTGTCGAAATTAAATGAAAGTCCTTACAACAAACTCTGATTTTCTAATTCCTACATCTTTGCAATCCAATGTCGTAGACCTTAGATATTTCAAACTATGAATTGTGTTATATCAATTAATCTAAGTTTGAAATATCAAAATTTTACACCAGATCAGGTTGCAAATAAATAGGGATTCAAAAATTTGAGGTTGTTGCAAAGACTCAATTCCTTTAACGTAAATCTACATTTCAAGAGGTGCATGACAGATTTACTACGGTTTCCCATAACCCTTATAATCTGATCAATAATGTGGAAGATAACGTTGTTTTTCTAGCTGTAAAATGCTTAAGTCTGCTAATTTCTCTAGTGTTTCTGAAGCAAGAAATGCGAAATTCGCTTGTTCAGATAAACCACAAGTAAAAATAGACAGTTTTGATTAACGAAAACATGGATATTTCAAACTTGATATAGACAAAGCTTTATTATAGGATAGTGCTGTGAATCGAACCTATCGCTTGAAAGTGTGTTTACAAATAATTTTCTCAGAAAAGTTCTAGAAATAAAAAAATAGAAACTTTAAAGTTAGAGAAACTTAAGAGATCAGGGGTTGGATAGGTTGAGGGGGGAGGGAGGGGTTTAGACACTAAGGTATGGTTTAAAGGTTTAAAATGTAGATGTATCATGCAATGTTTATAGACAGAGAAGAGACTCACTTTACTTCCTTTTCTCATATGACTTATCACGTAACTAAAGTTAAAAATCTGAATTCATGAAAACTTTCATTTTTTGGTGGATTTTAAAAGTGAACAGAGAAATGAACTTTTGTAACTTTTCCTTTTTCTCTAATAAATATTTTTGCCTTGAGCTGATTTGAAAGAAGAATTGATATAAATGATATCCGTGGGAGAAAATTCATAATCCTTTTCATCCACGAAATCCCCCCCCCTTTCCCCTGCTTCTTTTCACTTGCATTCGCCCTTTTCCCTTTACTTCCCCCCACACTCTTCCTTTCTTTCCCTTTCATCGATTTACTTCTTTTCTTTCTCCATTTTTTTTATTTTTTTACTTTCTATTTTTACATTCTCTCGATATTTATCAATTCTCTCTGTTCAAACCCTTCTTCTTTCTCTTTTTCTTTAATATTTGTTCACCTTCATAAGGCATTTTGGTTCTTTTTATTACTCATTTCTATGCAAAATAATTTATTATTTCTTTTGGTATATACTATCACATTGTAGAAGCACTTTCTTTCTTCCTTTTTTTGATTTATTATTATATAATAGAAATATTTAAGCCCAACAAAGCATGACTTGAAACGGGAATCTAAACGTAAAATTGGTTAAGATGGGTTGGAAATTTAAGCCTTTCTTTTAAATAAACCAGGATATTTTGATTCATGGGGGGGTCATGGGGGGCACAATAGGGGGCACGAAGCCCCCCCCCCCCTTTTTTTAAACACGTATTTCTATAAACATTATATCCTGGAAATAAGAAATGCCTAATTAGGAATCAAATTATTCTGCTCATTCATGTGAAACTTATTTTAAACAATTAAAATAAAATTTTGAATAATCAGTCGTCCTTTAAATCCGCTTCCGCTTTCTTCATCATGTACAATTTCTCTGAACAATCAAATTTATTCGTAGATTTTTTTTGTTTCTAATGATGAAATTTCTAAAATTGAGAATTTTTTGTCTTCTGCTCTATATATATAGTATTCTTCATGTTGTGAAGTCTATAGTTGATATTTTGTATCTTCAATGTTTTGACATTTATAGATCTAAATATCTAAAGTTAAAATAAATTGGAAAATGAAATACAACCAAGAAAATTAAATATCGAAGTACAGTTTAACAAATATTATAAAAAAACTAGAATTTTGAGAATATATTTAGATAAATTACGTCATTGAATAAAAGATGGTCAAGCTGTCAGTGTATATCTTTTTATGTATTTCGCTTGTCTGTCTGTTTATATCCAATAAACGTCAAAACGGCTTGTCGTACTCAAATTTGTTCTCAATTCAACGAACGACCACAGGGAAGGTTTATGGAGAAAAAAATATTATTAAAAATCCACCAATTTCAACAAAGTTAAAACGAGTACAATACATATTTCGACTTGAAAAAGTAACAGTTAAAACTCAAGGGGTTCCTGAGATACATACACACAAACAAACAAAGAGAGATTACTACTTTATATACATATATGGATTATTATAGTTTATTAACCTTAAGATGTTTTCTAATTTTACCATCGTAAAACCAAGTCAACTAAACTCAGTCACGATATAAGCATAAACATTTAACAATAATTGAGAAGAAAGTTGAACCTTAAGGTTAAACCGTTTTTAAGTATATATATAGCGCTCATTTTTAACGCTTGATATCGATAACTACTGTGATAACTTTTGAATTTGATCCCTTAGTTTTCTGATCACCATAAGACAACGACGTGCACGGGATATCCAGGAGAAATTTATTTTTATGATATTACTACATTCGTTGTCGTATGTATCAATGCAATGAAGACGACTTTCCATTTCAATTTTGATTTCTGA